AGATTTACAGGGGGCCATCAAGGTATGTTGATTTATAGTCTTCCTTAGACCTGGTCCCACATTTTATGTCAGACTGCTACTTATTCTAAAAATTCTATAAAAATTCTTTCTACATAAAAAAAATAGAAAAAAAAAATGTGAGTTTTATGAAGATAGCAACAAACTGAAGTCCTGTTGTTTTTGTATTCATTATATATATATATATACTGATCTGCAAATGTTTGTATTATAATAAACTATATATGCATATTCCCACCATAAGAGGTATATGTATATTTCTCACATTGAAAAATATAGGTGCATTGAATTATTGATTAAGTCTAAAAATAAAAATTGAAAGCCAAAATATAGTTGTGGTCAAAATATAAATACTTTTTTTAAAATTTTTTTAATATAAAAGTATTTTTTTTCTGGTGTAATTTCTGTATGCATGGCGACAATCTAATTGTCTTTGGACAATCTAATTTATTCTGTCTGCTGCCATGCCAGATCACTCATAAGTCACATGACCAGCTCCAGTAATAACCCTTGCCTGATCAGTACCATTTTACAATTACTTTACCTGTAGCAGAAGACGATCTCTGGTTTAAAGAATGAATTCTGTCTCAAATTCACTGCAAACGATTTGACTAATAATATTCAAAACATGTCTTATCAACACCTGAGTCTTTATAACACATATCTGTTTCAGTCATTACAAGGATGTAATTTTAATTATTCTATTTTGTAAAAATTAGTATGCGTACTTGCCAGCTGCTAAGGCTGATATATATATATATATATATATATATATATAATATATAGAAAATGATTGTAGATAATTGTTGTCCTTGGTAATTATTCAATATACGGTAGTAATTGTTTATAATTTGTAAATTTTTGGCACTCAAATTCAAGGCCAACATCTAAAAATTATTGAAACTGTGGCACAAAGGCTAAGAGGTGTGGTGTCTAAACAATACACTCGACAGCTTTCATGAGACCTGTTATAGTAATGTTAAATCATATAATAAAATTGAGTTTTGCTTTTGAATATCTCAACATTTAAACTGTAAACAAAACTTTGATCATGTGCGTGCAATTACAAATGTGCATCACATTAAATCTTAGTTTTTTATAAAATTACTGACAAATACATGTGATGTGCATACCAGAAGTCACACTATACATATATGCTAGTTCACTTAAATGTCTCAGAATTTCTGTTTCTGTAATATTACAATGCATGTTAATGCTGCCGTATCAATGTATGGAGAGAATATTTGTGAATGAAAACGTGTTATTTAATCTAAACTTGTCTCCTTCAGGTAATTGTTGAGAAAGCAGCAAAAGCTCGTATTGGAGATCTTGACAAAAAAAAGTACTTGGTGCCATCAGACCTTACAGGTATGTGAACCTAGCCCCTAGCAATAATATATCCTGTCACCATTTTCATTGTTTTTTTTAATCCATTTATTCTGAGCTAAAAATATTTTTGTGTTATTAAATGAATACACATTGGGAATTACCGGTACATGCATAATACATGCACCACATAGAAGACTAAAAGCAAAAGTCCATTTCTAGCTGTTTGCAAATTATTAAAGATGCACTTTGAGATCAATCATATAGGTGTATAGACCTTTTTTTTGCAAATGCCCAGCAAGACATCGTTGAGAGTAAGAGAGTCATGCAACTTTGTTTTTGCCTTCCAAATCATGTCCCATTCTTAGTCGCCATCACATCTACTTTCTCAATTGCCATGGTTACAGATGTCAGTGGAATGATAGATATGATGATGATAGAGAATGGTACACTATTTGAAGGGCAAAAACAAGTCATGTGACTCTCTCCCTCAACGATATTTTAGCGACCATTTGACGATTGTTTTTGCTTCCTATTTGTTCGGCCTGTAGTGTTTCAGTATAAGGCGAATCATTGATTAATTTTTACAAATTGTCTTCATTAAGATCATCAAATAGTAGTGAGACCCCAGTGAAGCTTTAGGATGAAAGTATAGGTCAAGTCACCTGATAGTACCCTGTGTTTACTAGTTTAAAATTGGTTTGAACATCATACAGTTTGGCTTGTCTGTGATGAAGTTAAGGGAATGTCTGCGACTAAGGCGGCATTGGTGTTATAAACTTCTATTGTGGGCGCGATAACTCAAATATATATCAAATCTATCGGTATAGTTGACCTGCATAGATTTCATAGTTGATCTTCCAAAAATTGTATTTTTGGTAATTTTTGAAAATGTATTTCAGGGGTAATTTTATAAACCTACTGCAAGACTGTCACTGATTGAGTACTTGCATTGAATGATGATACCGGTTTCAAGTGCTCCAGGAAAGTGTTGCAGGTTCTTCGTGTGATGAGACGTTCATATGCAATGGATTTTTCCACACATAAACAACGAATTTGGTTGAATTTTGTTAGCGGTTGGCTTAATGTTATCCCACGAGATCGTTTAGTTGTGAAAATTTGTTATTTTTTTGTCTAAATTGTAGGAATATGAAAAACCTGTTTCTCAACTTGTCTCTTTATATAGTTTCAATTCATATTCAAGATGAATGACTGCCCCCGTTATATAATAAATATCAGTTTGGTTAATTTTATCGTATATATTTGATTATGCTTATATGCAGACAGACTGTGTTTAAACACACCCTGTTAATTACATTAATTAAGTGCATTAATCAAGCAAATATGGTGTCTTACATACTAGTAATGTAGTTCTATCAATTTTATAACTATCTGTAATTTTGACAATTTTTCTTACAGTTGGACAGTTCTATTTCTTGATTAGAAAACGAATTCAACTGCGACCAGAAGATGCGTTGTTTTTCTTTGTAAACAATGTTATTCCTCCAACTAGTGCAACGATGGGACAGCTTTATCAGGTGAACTACATTTCTAATTTATTTATTATGACCAAAGTAATACTTTGCCAAGTCAATTATTACTGGTCGTATCACCAGGTGTTTGCAATAAGTTGTAAGTTTGCTCCTAATTTCTTGGATTTTGTAAATATTTAAGTGTAAGGTGTGATGTTGTAGTATGATTTGCTTTTTACTCTTTACGCTGAACAGGCTTATCAAAATATCTTTACCATGAAAATAGTTGTATAATAGACTGACAAATGATTTAAATTTTTGGAGAGATGAAAGAAAGAAAAATGTTAATAATCGGGGGTGGTAGGGGTTTTATCCTATACATTTAAATATATTGGGTTATATTATAATTTGTACACACTTGTATAATTGTGACATTCAATTAAATTTAATTTTTAATTTCTTTCAACAGGAACACCACGAGGAAGACTTTTTCCTTTACATTGCTTACAGCGATGAAAGTGTGTATGGTGCATAAACGTCATCCCGGAATTACTATTTACAACAGATAATCTGCCACTCAACTCGATCTATGTAACGTCATAATATTATGTTGCTGTATATAAGATACAATTTTATATGGGCAAGAATAAAATAACATATTAAGTGGGAATTTCTATACTTTTGCTTGAACTGTGTTCTCTTGTGAACAAGAGATGGTGACACTGTTTTAAATTATAATGTCCAAGTTTTTTTTCCTCGTTATCGTATCTTTAAAAGCCATATGCTTATTTTACTAAAAAACAAAATTTGGAATTAGCTACACAGTATATTGGTTGATACGGCCCTATATGATATATGTAACAGTAAATTTGATGCATGTGATGAGTGATAACTGATATTTTAAAGTTCTGAGTGCGTTTATAAAGGTTTATTCAGGGTCTTGGGGTTATTATGTGACACTCTAAATAATCTTAATTTGTATGCATTGCTGGGGAATAAATGAGATTCAGGAGGATTTTCATTATTGTAGTAATTTGTAACAGAATCGTATCTCTCTGAATTTGCGTGGGTTACTATTCAAAAATGTTAGCAAAGAAAGTTAGAACGTAACAATGAAATGAGATGGCAAATTGTTCACTAGTTGAAAAATATTGTAATTCAAACAGTTGTTGTATATTTTCCAATTCATGCAAATTCAGACTATTAAATATGTCGCATAATAATCCCAAGACCCTGATAAAGCTCAATGAATGCTTTCAAACTAACTTTAAGAAGCTTAAAATAATTAATCTTTAAATTATTTTGTAGAAATGATTCACTTTGAAGCAAAATTGTCTTATATTAATTTTATAACCCTTTTCTTTTGAATGATTGCTTTTAGTTGCGAATTTTTTGGTAATCTACAATCAAGCACTGCTTGTAAGATGCCTTGTATTTTGGTAAACATGTTTTTGTAGGTATTGCTGTGTTAGTGAATTAAATTTTTCTTTTCATCAGTAAATCTGCCTTGATAAAATAATTTATTGTAATCAAAGACTGTTTTCAGCATGCATTTTTTGTTCAACACTTGTTGTATCTATGTTAGTGTATGTGTGTTGCCACATTATATTTTTAAAATTGACTAGTATTTGCTCTATTAGCAATATGTCAAGGTCTACATATAGTGGTGAAATGAATAACACAATAGACAAGAATGTTTAAGGAGGGTTCTGTCAAGACAAACAAGCATAAATGACATGTCAACCATGTAAAATATCTTCACTCATTTACCGGGTATTAAACAAAAAACTTAAAGTGGAAAATAGTATGTGATCAACTTGACTTGGCTTGAAAATCTGTTTTTTCAAGGATAAAAATAATTAGGAATACCTGAAAACGGCAAACGTGAGAAATGAAATGGAATGATTACAACGAAACAAGCAACTTGTATCCCTTGCATGTGCGCTCAAGTGACGTTGACGTTACGTGACTAGCCAGATTAGGACAGATACTGTACTACCGGTAATATATTAGCATGATATACGATGACATTTGACAGGAAAGAAAGTGTCATCTGCTTTGTTTAGTCACATGAGTTGCAAATTGCAGACCATGAAATATAACTTTGCAAGTGATGTAAGTCATTTGTTTTTTTGCATTCTCTCCTTTCTGAACACTGCACAACATGTATTTCAGATTTTACCTTCGTTTTTATTCAAAGAAAGCAAGCAAATCTAATCAACATTCTATCATAGTATGCATTTGTAATCAGTGTATACATTACTTCTAATATGTGCATATCAAATGGTCCTTTAATTTTACGCACTGCTAATAGAGATAATGTGACTTTCCAAACTCACTTTTATTTCGCATGGTCAAATTTATTGGAATCAGTGACACGAATATTTAACATATTGTGCATTTTTTTTTCTTGGGTGTGCACATGTCCTAAATTACAATTTTGTTTTAAGTTTGGTTGGTTTCTTTCAGCATAGTGGTATTTTACTTAACATTTTGGTTTTATAACCAAGTTTCATCCAAAATAGGAAATATACCAAACATGCATCATGCAGTATTAATCTATTTTAAGGTAGAGATTGGATCTTGTCTTGATTGTTTAGTTGAAGCCAGAGTCATCAGAAGCAATCTAGAATTCATTATTCAACAGACCACAAATGTTGGTGAAAGTTGGTCCGATCTCTGCTTTAAATATGTATTATGATAGTGGATAGTCTAGTAAACAACAAAAATAGTTGTTATTGTCAAAGAAAGTTAATAAAAATGTTAAAACTTATTGTTTGTTGTATTTTATGTATTGAAGTGTTAATTGAGATGTTATCACGCTTTTTTTTGTTCACAATTGAACATTGTCAAGTTTAAAACCTTATAGTATTTACTGTTATACTACTTTTTGTCTCGTCCCCATTGTTCTAACTATGTTTCTTACTTTCTTTAGCGGACAGTTTCAACCTAATTAATTATGCATTCTT